GACGGCCTTTTCTGAAGCCCCTTCTCACATTTCTGGGCGATTGACATAAAGGGCAAGAAGTGAGCAGAAACATTAAGACTCTAAGCCCCGCCCCCACGCCCCCCTCATTCCCACAAATTCCTCCCCGTACAATGCACACAATTAAAGGAAATATCTTTCAGATCCAAAGAACGGCTTTTGGTTTTAATGTTTGGCTTTGGACTAACAGGACACGCGTGTGAGAGAGATCTTCAGCTTCCCCACTGCCACGAGTACACCTTCAGTCAGTCTTGGGGTTTTATCATTCCTGCCCTGCAGGAGTGCCAAGGAGAGGATATTAAAATGTCTGGCTCTAAAAAATGCCATTCTACTCTTAGTAAAGCTCAGGTCTTTCAGATACCTTGCTGGTCCCCACACACCCCATTTAATCCTTTTTGTTGCTGCAGAGAGACATTCGGTTAAGCTCGAGCTGGAGCTCCACGTCTCTTATTCCGTCGGTAGCCGCTTTGCTTGGGTTGGTCGTAGCCGAGGGATATTTAAAAACAGCGAGGAAAGTGCACAGGAGGCCCGCTTAGGCTCCCATCGACTGTTTCCTGGGAGAGGGGAAGTCATTTATTGAGAAGAATTGAGTCCTACGGTTAAAGAAGGCATAGCAGCCAGAAAAGGAAATAAACCCTTTTAACATGATTTTAAGATATGATTATTTTTTATTTATGCTATTGAAGCTATTGCGTGCTATAAGGGTCAAAAACAGGTGCCATCCATCCCGTGGTTGAAGCAGGCCTCGGCAGCCATTACAAAACCTTGATAGTGTCAGCATAGAGCACATTTTAAGCTGCCTTTCTTATTAAAACCTTATTAATATTAATAGGGCATCATAGTCCTCTCTTAACTATGTTGAAGGCTTTTGAAGCAGATTTCTTCTTCGCCCTGTGCGTTGGCAGCAAACGGGCCGCCCTCTGGCCCGGTTAATAAGGTGTAATACCGTTAATACAGACAGAAGAATATCGTAATTTTAAAAATGCCATTAAAAGCGTTTATTTCTGTTGGTGGCGGCAATACCCGTTTTTTGCCCAGAGGGCAGAGCTTCCGTCCCGTAGCATAACGTTTAGGTGCTTTTGCCCAGCACGGACACCGAGAATCTAAGCCGCAAAGCGCTAGAGCGTCTCCACTCTAGGCTCCTGCCAAAGGGACGGGCGGCTTCCCTCGGCCTTCGGCGCATGTCCGCCGGCTGGTTCTTCACCAGCAATCCAGCAATCTCCCAGAGGCCTTCTCGGCAATTGGGGGCTTTCTGTCCCTCGTTCTCGGCGGTTCCCCGGTCCTGTGAGAAAAGCACCTTTCCGAGATGGCCGACTTCCGGCCCTTCGTTCTTAATCGTTCCCCCAATTTCCTTTCACAGAAGACCTTCTCTGCATGTCGGACTTTCCGTCCGATCAAATCCGCCGTCCACCGGGGCCTTTAAAAAACGACCTTTCCCGTCGTGGTGGTGGGGGAAGGAGGTAAGGAGATGGGCGAGCGGGCCGGGTTGTATGACACTCTGCCTTTGCAAGGGGCTGTAACTTCCAGCAGGCTCAGTCAATGTGAGGAGGGGGGGGGAGGAAATGCAGGGTTGGCGGTTCAGGAAGGGTGCACTTGTCCCGAGGCACCGACGGTTCTTCCGGCCTGCTGTTTGTGGGGCGGAGGGTTGGGGGGAGAATGCAGAACACATCTGCCCATTTGCAGAACGGATGTGGCAGACATAGCATCCCTTGGCGCAACCTGGAGTGAAAGAAAACCGGTTTCAGCCATTTGTCAGGGTAGGCCAGTCTTCAGAAACGTGGGCTTTGACAGCGAGCACAAGGGGAACTCGTCTCTCTGGCTTTTCCTTTGAGATGGCTCTGGTTTATGGTTGGGACCTGTTCCTCCCGTTTATTGTGTTTGCGAAGCTGTGCTTTCGTCGCTTGTCTCGATGCTGTTTTGTCAGTTGTAGCTCTTGTTTCTGTCTGCTTCTTCCAGGTCCCAAAGCACAGGAGAAATTTTAAGCGGCTCACGTACACCGAATAAAATGGGATGAGCAGAAAGGAGGATGGTAAGAAAGTTTTAAATTAAATCCATGACCTAGAAAGGGCGAGCCCATGTGGATGGCTTCGTGAACTGGTCCTTTACTGTCGCCAAAGGTTCGCTTCTTTTCATGAGCTACTGAGCTTGCAGAGGTCTGTATCCTGCCTTTTCTAACGGAAGGGCAGAATTCTCACCTTCTGTATGAATAAAGGATGTTTCCGATCTGACCGATCTCGAGTGTACTTTTGAACAGACACATCCATCTTCAGTTGTTTCCCCATTCTTACACCCTCAGCAGTTTATTTTTCTTGCAGATGAGGAGGAATCTGTGAAAAAAACCCCAACAAATGTTCCCTGGTTTGGGAGGCGAGTAGTATTTATGGTATGGTCTAACTGAGGCGTTTGGTGATTCCCAGCGTCACTAAGAAAGTCCTGGTTTTATTATGCCCCCTTATCGACAGGACAGAGAAACACCTTCAGGAACTGAACTGTGGGTGCTCTGTACAATTGTCCCTTCAGAGCACCCCTCCTCTTTAATTCCAAAAGTGGGAGAGGTCGGGAGCGGAGCTTTGGCGAGGTGAAGTTCAAGCAGCGTGCTGCTGAAAACATGGCACGGGAGCATTTTAAGAACAACTGCATGAGCGTTATTGGGATCGAGGCTTCTGAGCGAGTCAGTCCTAGACACCCGCAGACTGACGGGCTTTTCTCAGCCCCTTCTCAATTTCTGGGGCGTTTGACCATAAGGCAAGAAGTGAAGGGCAGAAAACATTAAGACTCTAAAGTAGCTCCGCCCACGCGGCGCCCACCCCGCTTATTCCACAAATTCCTCCCCGTACAATGCACACAATGAAAGGAAATATTTTTCAGATCAAAAGAACGGCTTTTGGTTTTAATGTTTGGCTTTGGACTAACAGGACACGCGTGTGAGAGAGATCTTCAGCTTCCCCGCTGCCACAAGTACACCTTCAGTCAGTCTTTGGGTTTTATCATTCCTGCCCTGCAGGAGTGCCAAGGAGAGGATATTAAAATGTCTGGCTCTAAAAAATGCTATTCTACTCTTAGGAAAGCTCAGGTCTTTCAGATACCTTGCTGGTCCCCACACACCCCATTTAATCCATTTTCTTGCTGCAGAGAGAGATTCTGTTAAGCTCTAGCTGGAACTCCACGTCTCTTATTCTGTTGGTAGCCGCTTTGCTTGGGTTGGTCGTAGCCGAGGGATATTTAAAAACAGCGAGGAAAGTGCACAGGAGGCCCGCTTAGGCTCCCATCGCCTGTTTCCTGGGAGAGGGGAAGTCATGTATTGAGAAGAATTGAGTCCTACGGTTAAAGAAGGCATAGCAGCCAGAAAGGAAATAACCTTTTTTACATGATTTTAAGATGGTTATTATTTTTTTATTTATCTATTGAACTATTTGCGTGCTATAAGGGTCAAAAACAGTGCCATCCATCCCGTGGTTGAAGCAGGCCAGCAGCCATTACAAAACTTTCAATGGCGTTTTTAAGGCTACTCTTTCTTATTAAAACCTTGATTAAGTTAATAGACCATAGTCCTCCTTAACTAGGTTGAAGGCTTTTGAGCAGATTTCCTTCTTCCGCGCGCCTCGCGCCTGTGCGTTGCAGCAGAACGGCCCTCCGCCTGGCCCTGTTAATAAGGTGTTAATACCGTTAAATAAAGACCAGAATTCGTAAATTTGAAAATGCCATTAAAGCGTTTTATTTCTTTTGGTGGCGGCAATACTCCGTTTTTTGACCACAGGAGTGCAGAGCTTTCCGTCCCGTAGCATTAACGTAGAGGCCTTTTGCCCAGCATCGGGACACCGAGAAGCTAAGCCGCAAAGCGCAGAGCGTCTCCACTCTATGCTCCTGCCAAAGGGACGGTCCGCTTCCCTCGGCCTTCGGCGCATGTCCGCGGGCTGGTTCTTCACCAGCAATCCAGCAATCTCCCAGAGGCCTTCTCGGCAATTGGGGGCTTTCTGTCCCTCTTTCTCGGCGGTTCCCCGGGTCCTGTGAGAAAAGCACCTTTCCAAGATGGCCGACTTCCGGCCCTTCGCTCTTAATCGTTCCCCCAATTTCCTTTCACAGAAGACCTTCTCTGCATGTCGGACTTTCCGTCCGCTCACATCCGCCGTCCACCGGGGCCTTTGAAAAACGACCTTTCCCGTCGTGGTGGTGGTGGAAGGAAGTAAGGAGATGGGCCAGCGGGCCGGGTTGTATGACACTCTGCCTTTGCAAGGGGCTGTAACTTCCAGCAGTCTCAGGCAATGTGAGGGGGGGGGGAAATGCAGGGTTGGCGGTTCAGGAAGGGTGCACTTGTCCCGAGGCACCGACGGTTCTTCCGGCCTGCTTTTGGTGGGGCGGAGGGTTAGGGGGAGAATGCAGAACACATCTGCCCATTTGCAGAACGGTTGTGGCAGAAATAGCATCCCTTGGCGCAACCTGGAGTAAAGAAAACCGGTTTCAGGCCATTGTGTCAGGGTAGGCCAAGTCTTCAGAAACGTGGGCTTTGACAAGCAGCACAGGGAACTCGTCTCTCTGGCTTTTCCTTCGAGAGTGTCTCTGGGTTTATGGTTGGGACCTCCTCCCAGTTATTGTGTTTGCGAAGTTGTGCTTCGTCGCTTGTCGCGATGCTGTTTGTCAGTTGTATCTGTTCTGCTTTCTTTCCAAGGTCCCAAAGCACAGGAGAAATTTAAGCGGCTCACGTTACACCGAATAAAATGGGATGAGCGGAAAGGAGATGGTAAGAAAGTTTTAAAGTAATCAAATGACCTAGAAAGGGGCGAGCCCAACGTGGATGGCTTCGTGAACTGGTCCTTTACTGTCTCCAAAGGTTCCTTCTTTTCATGAGCCACTGAGCTTGCAGAGTCTGTATCCTCCTTTTCTAAAGGAAGGGCAGAATTCTCACCTTCTTGTATGATAAAGGATGTTTTCCGATCTGACCGATCTCGAGTGTACTTTGAACAGAACACATCCATCTTCAGTTGTTTCCCCATTCTTCCACCCTAAGCAGTTTATTTTTCTTGCAGATGAGGAGGAATCTGTGAAAAAAACCCCAACAAATGTTCCCTGGTTTGGGAGGCGAGTAGTATTTATGGTATGGTCTAACTGAGGCGTTTGGTGATTCCCAGCGTAACTAAGAAAGTCCTGGTTTTATTATGCCCCCTTAGCGACAGGACAGAGAAACACCTTCAGGAACTGAACTGTGGGTGCTCTGTACAATTGTCCCTTCAGAGCACCCCTCCTCTTTAATTCAAAAAGTGGGAGATGTCAGGAGCGGAGCTTTGGCGAGGTGAAGTTCAAGCAGCGTGCTGCTGAAAACATGGCACGGGAGCATTTTAAGAAACACGGCACTGAGCGTTATTGGGATCTAGGCTCTGAGCGAGTCAGTCCTAGAACCCTCAGACTGACGGCCTTTTCTGAAGCCCCTTCTCACATTTCTGGGCGTTTGACATAAAGGGC